CTACTGATTGTAGCGGATAAAATGTTTAAGTTGGAAAAGAACAAAGAAGGATTTGCCTCAGGAAGGCACGGTCAACCATGTCCCTGTGCAGTGGTTCTTTCCTATATTTTTGGAGGTGCATCCCTGTAAGAATCTGCTATGGACACTCTCTCAGGCAACATGGCTGTGTGTGCCTCTTTACAAATCCTCACACATATTTTGAGTCTTTGTTTCTTGTAACCAAAAGGGTCAAACATGTAGTGTGATGTTAAAAGTTAATGACTGTGTCCTGGGGGGGAAATTATTTATTTACTTCACCTATTCATTTAAACAACGAATGTATTGTATGTCAGGCATTGTGCTAGAGTCAGGAATTCAAAGCAGTATATGACCCAATTCCTGTCTCGAGGAGCTCACAGGTGAATGGGGCGAATTATAAACAGAATCTATTTATAATGGCGATACAGTCAACACAATGCTGGACTTTGTTGCAGGGCACCTTTCCCAGCCAGAGTGGAAGAGAAGATCAGGAAGACTTCCTGGAGGAGGAATCTTAAAGGAAGATGGAGAGTTAACCAGGTGAGAAGGGATAAATGCAGGTACATCACAGAGAACATGATGGGCATGGAGGCAAGATCAGCATGATCAGAAACTCCTTGGACACAACATCCTGTGAGGTTGGGAAGATGGAGATAAGGATCAGACAGTGGTTGGCTTTGATAGGGGTGGGGAGGTGGCGAGTTTGCGTCAGGGATTACATGGACAGGGGCCTAGGGAACTGTCTGAAGTGACAAAGGTTGTATATCTTGATAGGAGTGGTGGTTACAGAGGTAAGTGTGTCAGAACTCATCCAACTGTCTTCTTAAAACTGGGAGCGTAACATTGCATGTAAACTACCCCTCAGGGAAAGGATCGGCCCCAAAAGCAAATATTATCTTGCAACATGACAGAGGGACATAGTGCTAAAATGAAATCCTCCTGTGACTCCGTCAGGTAAATGGACTCCCCATCATCATCACCATCGTCACTCCAGTCATCCGCGTCCTCCTCGTCAGCAGAAGGGTGTGACTCAGGGCCTGGATTGGGGTCATGCTGCCCTGGACACACTGTACAATGTGACCAACATGGACCTTGTCCCCTGTAGTTTAAACGTCATCCAGGCACAACTGTGTGGCCATCCACCCAGGTCTAAAGTCACCCCCGGTCAGCTCAGCGATTTACTTCAGTTCCCTGTGCTGAGTGCTGAGGGGATAAGGCCTGAAAAGACCCGGGAGATAAATACCCCAACTCTCCCTCTCTCCTGCTGCCTCCATTGTCCAGTCCAGACCGAAGCCAGAGCAATGCAGCCTG